AGTCGCGCCTGGCTAATAATACAGAAGTTACAATAATGTGGCTCACGTGCTCACATGTTACCGTATCCAATAACATAAAACTGACCTTTGGTCTGTACAAAGTAACTTGTCTTGGCTGTTTTAGTAGACTAGTATTTTGTAAAATACAGCCACATTTCAATTATTATACATTACATATGTATATACATTATTGCTATTTTGAAATAAGTTCTTAAAGTTATTTTTCCAAAACATAGAACAGTAAATAAAGAAGTAAAGCAAACAATTATCTCTTCAAGTAATGACCTTTGTACTCGATTGCTGCTATGCAGTGCTATTCTTATTGCTTGTCAAATATTTTTGCTACTGCTTCTTCTATTCAGCAAATAGTTGGGTCGCACAGCTAAGTTTGTCTTCATATAGGTGCCTCTAATTGTACAAATATCTGCTAAACTGAAACTTTGTGGAACTTATCAGTCACACCATGATCAAAAATACACCTGGATTTTCTGCTTGCAAGCACCTATATATTTCTAACCATACTAAGCACAATATTTTGGATGGCTTTCCCACCCAAATCAATCTCCCTGTATCTTCAATGTTCAAAATGTTAGCCTACTTGACATTACACCTAGATAGCCAGTAGCATACTTTATCTGTCAATGACACTGGGGTTTCCATATGACTTGTATTTTCGTTTTTATCCGTTCCTTAAGACCCTAGTATATTTTCAATCAAAATACATGCATAGAAACAAAACATAATAACTAAAAATCTTATTTTTTTATGTTTTTAGTGTGCTTGTACAAGCAATGTTAGCAGTGATACAACATAGAACAAAAGCACTGATTTTCAATCTAAAAATTTATTTATGCTCAAAAAGCATGTTATAATATATCCTTATTCTTTACTGGGAAAAAAAATGTGTAAAAGGGTATTAATCACAAAACTAGGTGTCTTATTAGTAAGTGTTTTCAAAGACCAACACCACTTTAAAACTTAATAGAAAAATATGAATAATTAAGCTTGGAAATTTATTTCCACTGTTTGAGGCCCACAGTGAATCTCCATATCAGGTGTCAAATGAAAAACCCAATAAAATTTTTTATTAAGTCAGTTCTATATGTTTTAATTTGATTAAACAATAGTCTGTTGCTTATTGTATTACCATATAATTATCTGTGATACCTAAAACACCATTCTAATTTACACACAAATACACTAGTATACTACTACATGTTGCATCACACCATGAATATTATTAGAGTTTTGACTTTTTTGCAAGTTATTGTAAAAGTACCAAATTTTATATATGTACATATATTTTATGAAAAAATATACAAATTCCAAAAATAGAACAACTTGTTTTACTATTATTTTTTGACACCAAATCCACAATGTCATCAAGTTTGTGGTTTGTCTTGGTTACAGGATTTTCAAGTTAGGCCCCACATTTACAAGTTAGATTAGTCAAATTGCTATAAAATTTAAAAAACCCAATGACAGCCTGGTCTATAGACTTATGATCATGCAATAAGTATAAATTTGTTTGCATATGATTAGATATTTTAAGTACTTCTAGGAAATGTATACAGTGCTAGCAGATATATTAAACTGGGAAATGAGAAGTAATTCCAAACTAATATAATGCTAATATTCTGAGAACATGGATCTTTCTTTTTAAGACTTAACATATATTAAACTTGTGTTTTAACAGCTAAAGATATTGTAAAAGTTTATGATTAAAATCTTTGTGCTTGGTTAGACTACACTTACACTAGAAAGAAAGAGTTAAACAGTGCACACAAAATAACTTTATAGCTTCATATATCTTAGCAATAAGGTGGCACATATCAACGAATAAAATAACAAAACATGAGAAAAAAAATTAAGAGTTACTTGATTCATTTATGACATTTGATGCATACGAAATATTTAAATTATTCTGACTTCCATGCCTTCTAATGTATATACACACACACACACACACACAGATATATATTGCAATACTGTTATCGGTCCTGGTAGTCAACTTATTGTTATAATGAATAATGTCAGTGGTAATAACACCCAAATGCATTGGTGATAACCCATCTATCAGATAATATCCAAACACTGATGTCAATCTAGTCAGCCGTCATGGGGGGAAAAAAATCAATCAAATAAAGGTATGAAGCTGTGTGCTTACACTCACAATGTCTCAGCTTCTAGTGCCTTTTACTGTCTATAGCCAGTTGTGGAAAGGCAGTTACCCTTAAATTTCTTAAAGTAGAAATGAACTGAAATATAGCCACCCTAATATTTCTACTAATTAAACTCCCAACCTTCACCCTTACAAAAAAAAAGATATTAAATAGAACTATAAAATATTGAATAGAACTAAATAGAACTATACACCTTAAAAGTTCTAGCTCCAAACCTTCTGAAGATTTATTCAAGTATAACACAGGAACGCCAAGACAAGTCAAACTACTTTAAATTAGTCTTTTTGTCCCAGTTATACTGAATAAAATTACTAGGAAAATTATTATTAGCTACTTATAAGCTAACATAACTAACTCCCTCTATATTTTATTTATATGATATTTTCCTTAATCGATAGTTTAGTTTCTAAAATATTTTTGTATTTATTAAAAAATAAAGTAATGTATTTCTTTAATTGCCTGTCTCTATAGCTGTTATCTTTCAATTTATTTTTTAATAATAAAACATTATCCATAAACAAATTATAGTTATTACAAACTAATAAGAACCGTTTTAGTTGAGATATAATAATACCTTTTAATAAGAATCCAACAAACAGATGAACACTTTTTTTAAATATATTTTTACCAAGACTCTCAAAATTACTAGTCCACCACTGAGCCATTATTAGAAATTCGTTTATTTCACTACCCATGCTTCATGGTTAAATAATTTTTCATTCTCACCACTGAAACAGTCAAGTCTTGATGCAATGGAACACTTGTTGGCCAGATAACGTGAAATTCGACCTTTATTTTTTGTCCCAGCTCGACCAATATATGTAGAATGAAAAATAAGGCCATATTTTGGGGTATTCCCTCTACTCTTCAGAGCTCTGAAATTAAAGAAACTTGTAAGTAAGCCATTTTCAATGCTTAATATATCTACTTCTATTACAGTTGCTATTCATACCTTTTCACTTGTTAAGCAATATGGGATGAAACTATATATTACAAATAGTTTTTTACAATCATTATAGTAAAATAAGTGTTCTTCATTTATCAAAATATTATCTTTTAATATTAAATATTTACAAAGCTATTTTTTCTACACTAAAACATAAAATTGGCAGCATCTCACCTAAACAGTGCTTTCTCTGCACCCAGAATCTGAACAGTTGAAGCTGGATATTTAGCAAGATTAGTTAAGCTTCCAGCATGAGATATCAGGCGAGCTCCAACCTATTAATAAAATTTACACTTTGTATTGTACTGGTTTAACACACACACACACATACATCACAAATAGATTGAATAGTTCTATTAATTTATGTAAATTCAAAATCTAAGTCTTGATAGTTAATAAAAATACAAAATGTGGATGAATCCTCAGTGGAAGTCTTCCATGAAGTGCATTTGCAGTATTTAAAGATGTCAAATACATCTTTACAAGCAAGAATACAGCTTGGTCTTGTATATTACTTTTAACTGTGAATAAATAGTTTTTATGACTAGATAGTATTGTTATTTTTTTTAAAAAGAGCACATTTATGACATATGAAATAAATGGTCAGATCAGAACTCTAAGGTTCAGATATATCCATCCCTAATTTTGGGCTACGGGTCAGAGAGAAGGCAACCAGTCAGCAGCACCCACCACTTAAAGGACTTTGAACCAAATAATTGGATTAACTGTAGTTATAACATACCCACAACTGAAAGTATGAAGTATTTTCATTAGCAGTACTGGTTAGTATGTGAACTGTACTTTTGTTTTGTACACGAAAGTCTAAAATCACAAAAACTGAGGGTGATTGAAATCTTTCGGTCTTGACTAAAACCACATGTAAAAAAAAAATGGTTTAATAATTAATAAGATTAATGAGAATAATTTTTATTATTTATATCAGTGAATACATGTTTTTTTGTTGTTTTCTTTTACTGTTTTCACTTAATTTTGTGCCCAATATCTTTAAAAGGTAACTTTTGATAAGCTACAGTATTATTAATGAAATATCCTCTAGTGTGTAACATCAGTTTTACAAATTTTTTTAATAATGACAAGAAACGTAAATATTATTGAATAGGATACAACATATATAATACTAAAAAAAAAATTACTAATCAAATGCCACAAGGAATTTAAAGAATCTCCCGCTAGTTAACATTTCTTATGGATATAATAATTTATATAGATTATGGATATTACTGGTTGTAATACTAATCTAAATCCAAAAAAATGATCTCTATTATTATTTCTATTTCACAATTCTAACATTTTTTATTATAAAATAGAGTATTCAACACAAAAGTTTACTTCAAATTTTATTTTTGAATACTCACCCCTTTTTATGGTTTAAATCTTAGCTTCTAATGGTCATCCAAACAGTTTCAAGTAACCATTTATGCACACTAGACAATGTTTCAATGAGATATTATTGTTCTGCAACCTGTTTTTTGGAATGCTTTATCAGTAAAATATATTTGCATGTTACTCATGAAAACTTACCCATTGAAGGTTATAGAATTTGAACCAAAAGCATGTAAACTAAGAAAATAACATGAAAAGTTCACTGAAATATTTATTTAATAATTGTATGTCATACTATGAGTGAAGTCAAATGTTTTTATTTTTAAAAAATGTTTCTCAGGAAATTGCAGGGAACTTGTAGATTATGGGGTGTACTTGTATAGAAAAAAGAAATACAGAGTAGAGGACAGAATTTAGTGAATTTTATACATACATATTCTTAAAAAACTGTAATGATTAGTAAACAGAGTACACATATAGTTGGATTATATTATGTAAGAAAGAATGGTAGAGCATGGTTATTCTGCATCACATGATCTCAGAGAATAATTGTATGAGTAGTTATGAAAGTAAGAGCAAAAAAAATGTGTGTATATATACGTGTGTGTGAGAGAGAGAGAGAGAAGGCTTTGAATAAAGCAACTGTTATATATGTGTGTGTGTTTTTTAGTAATTATGTTTTTAACAGTATTAAATAAGTTTTATTAATATGGGGAAAATTTTTGTTTCATACAGTTGTGCAAAGCTATACAAGTTCTATTTGCACTAGCTGTCCCTAATTTCAAATTGATAGACTAGGGGGTAGGGGTAACTAGTCAATTGTACCTAGCACCAACTCTTGGGCTACTCTATCACTCTTATTATTCACACCTATAGCTCCAAAGTGCAGAGTGCAATTGTTTCATCTTGTAGCAACAAGAAAAGAGCTATGGACACTCAGATACATAGTCTGGTATACTAACCACTAAGCCACAGCCAGGCCACATGAAAAAAAAAAACAGGTTGCATATCTCTGTTTACATAACTCTTCCTTTAATCAAATTCATGGTATTGTTTCTCTGTTCTGTTATTATATTCTAAAATAAATAATCCTACACTGATAAGCAGTAACTTTCTAATAAAAAAATGTAGCCAAGCAAAACACTTTACTACAAGACAACCCCCCTCATGGCACTAAAATAGTTGTATGGTACATAAGCTTTGAGTTTTCTCCCACCAAACAAACTTACCTAAAATTTAAAAATGACTCGAATAATATTTCATTTAGTAGCAAAATAATTTTTTTTTTTATGGAAAACAGTTTGTTTGTTTTAGATCAAAGCCACATTGGTCTACTTGCTTTGTCCACTGCAAAAAAATCAAACTACAGATTTTAGCATCGTAAATCCATAAACTTACTGCTGTCTCATCAGGAGATCCTTATTGTGAAAAGGAAATCACATTTTACATCTTGTTGCATTAATATAAAATTTCTCTTACATTAATTACAAGACAAAATTAGACATGAAACTTACACTCTCTCCTATCAATGCTGCTAGATTAGGAGCTGTATTACTCATCTTTGATTTGAGGTACTCCATCAACTGCTTTCGATATTCTGCCAAAGCAATTACTCTAGAAGCAAAGGTTTCAATGTTTATCAGGTCTAACGGAGAGATATCCATTCCTATAAAGCACAGGAGAAATGTTAGAACTTTATTGCAACTCCAAGACAGTTACAAATAATATATAATATACACACACACACATATGTATGTATGTATATACAGAAAGGATCAAAATTTCACTTTTCATGTAACAACACATCCCAAATGATCATATTTTCTGTGAGATAAATGGCTTAAGAGCATAAAACTTAAAAATAAACAAAATCATAGATTTATTACATAGTTCACCCACCCACCCCTATTAGAGTGGTAACTTTCTCTATTTCCTCTGCAACGAAAGTCTCGTGTTCATGTTTCTTGTGAACAGCATTCTGCATGGTTGATGCAGTCACTGTCTCTGTAAAATTGCCACTCTTGCTCAGTCTCAGCTTGATGATGAGCAGCTTGTCTTTTTTGTTAGCTATCAAGACGTGTTTCCCTTTCTTGTGGAGTCTCACTCTGTTGACTTTGTTGTAAATATTTTGCTGCTTGTGATTAGTAATCAGAGTTGTTTTTTCTTTTTCTCGACATTTTACTCTAAGGTGTATAATCAGTGTCAGAAATGTTTATCGTACGTAACTCCCCTCCCAAAATAAAGTGAATAAAAACCAATTTTGTTTTGCAGAATTTTACAGGCTCAACTTGTCTATTATATAAAAAAGTTAGTACTGTTTGTCAGTAGACATGTCAGTATTTGATGGATTTTTATTCCAACACCAAAATGGCAGCACATTTCTATAAAATACACATACATTTTTCTGATGTCATTTCCACTTAAATCAGATCAAAAATCCGGTCCATCTTCTTGGGAAAAATTAGATCACATAATTTTCAGTATCAATAAAAATGTGATACTAAACCTGAGTACACTGATACCATACCTTTATAGGCCTACTATTATAGGTGCTGAAAGGTGAAAACAAACAGACACAAACTTAACTTTATATATTAGATAATTACAACATGCAAATACAGTAATATATCATGCAGAAAAATAAGAAAGCTTCAAAATATTACAGTTTTAGCCCTATTTACAATCCTAATAGACTTTAGCTTTAGGATCCACCCATTATTCATAGGTAGTGTAAACAATATTGAAATCAATACAGTTTTTTAAATAAACAAAGAATTAGTGGTATTATTCATGTATTTTAATTCTTCACAGGCTCCAATTTCAATCATTTTTTCAAATATATGAATATTTTTAGTGAAGAAATAGCAAATGTTCATTAACATTTCCCTTAACGATTAAGCTGCATAGACGTAGAAGAATATGTTTAGAATATAAGTTAAAAGTCTGCTTCGTGACAGGGGATAAAGCATCACTCTGTGCTGAAACATTTTAATATACAAATGTTCTTGTGTAAGGATTAAACCTTCTGGACCAGAGGAGTGTCAATGATATCCCTTGATTTTTGGTTCTCACAATGTAAGTACTCAAGCAAACTGCACGATATTAACCTCAAACTCACTAAATATAATCAAGTTTTAACTTTAAAAATTTAATATAATTTGTTTTCATTTACAGAATTGAGGAAAAAAATTGTAAGTTTCACAACTTCTTCATTTATTAATAACCATGGTTTTGCCAGTAAAGGCCTCATCAGGTACCCCATTTGCTATATTTTACATCATGAAATGTCCAAACGTTTATTGTGAGATTGTTTTACAAAAAGTGTCAAAATATTTCCTTTCATCTTATAATTTCTTTCTCTCAGAAAATTCCATTCTAGATATCCAGACAGTTTCAATATGAACATTTATTTTAATACTTTATTGTTGAGTGGAGTACTCTATTCCAGAAATCATCCTAGTAAGTCCCCTCTCAAAACATCAGTGCCTTCCTAAAGTAAAAATCAAAGACTCAATAAAATACTCTAAATAAGGCCTAATAAGGGAACTATACAAAGAAAAAATAACCTCCTTTGACTTACATTCAGTATACTTGTATATACCACCCAAACTCCTATTTCTTTTCTCACTCTAGCAACACACTGTCAGAAAGACTTAAGCTACTGATTGACCAAAACAAAGATATCCTTTTCTTTCATAACACTATTTAATTTATTTCCATCAAGGTGATCATTACAGCATAAATTAAAGTGGTTCCTCATGCACTGCCTTGCACTTAACATAATTAAATATCATCTGCCATTTATTTGTCCAGTTTGCCAATTATTCCAAACCTCTTTGTAGAACACCAGCATCCTCCCCTCAGCCATCTACATACAAAACTTTAATACCATCAGTATACTTGACTAATGCCTTATCAATATCGTATATGTATATCAAAAACAGTAAAGGTCTCAGCACAAAGCCCCAAGGTACCCCACTTGCAACTTCAATACAGTTTCACTGATCTACATTTATTACAACCCTTTCCTCTAACCTACCATTAATCCACTGAGCTATCACCTATCCCAGAGATAATTTTCTTTACTAGTCTTTTATGTTGCACTTTGCCAAAAATCTTTAGAACACCTAGGTATACCAACTCCACACTTTTACCCTCATCAAAATAAACAGTGATATTTTTGGAAGATGCCAAAAAACTTCTAAAGAAAACCAATAAATATGTTGTTTGCATAAGTGACTTCTTGGAGTTGCACAGAAATAAGTTTGAAATTACACTAAATAAATGTACAAAATGATATCAATTATAAGATATTCTTTCAATTAAAAATTGTTGAAATAGCATTAACACTATCATTTGTATGTAAATTTTGTAATTTCATATGAATGTGTGAACTTGATAAATGCTCTGCAATCCTATACAAGGATTAACTTTTTTAATGATACTATGTAATGATTTACTTATGATACATTACATTTAACAGAAATAATATGACCACATTTTGTATATAGTAGGGTTACCAGACATTTTATTTTTATTTTTTTTTGTTAGCTTTAAATTAAAGCTTAAACTTCATATTCAAAAAACATTTTTTCCTTGCTCACTTTAAAATCATCAATACTAAATACTGTAAGCTTTCTCCCAGTTTTTGAAATGCTTTTCAGGTAAAGAATAAACAATCTAACCAAAAAATTGTCCATATTAACATTTTGTCAGGTGAAAGCTCTCTGTTGACAAAGATTTATATCTTTCATAAACTTAAAACAAAATTTTTTAGAACCTACCCATTGATGACCTTGCAGCATCTATTATAGCTTGAGTCTTTGTACTATCCATGACAATTTCTTCCAAAGGCTCAAAGTGCTCCTCATTTAGGTCTTTTCTGTTCTTGATGAATTTAATAATACGAGCATACATGTAGTTGTCTGGCACAATCTTATAAAGTTCTGGAAAGTGGTATGAGTACCATTCCCTGTATTTAACATGAACAAAAAAAAGGGCATCAATAAAAACAAAGAATTCTAAAAACAATGCTTTCAAAACTATATAAATGATCATAAAAATCGTGTTATCTGATACAATGTAATAGCTAATACAGATCTGTATAATTTTACTTGTAAAAGGCAGAAATCACCCACACTTCTGTAACAGCATTTCTAAACAAATATTTTCATTTACAAAAATATAAAAATTGATTCAACTAAGATAGCTTTTATACACTTTCTTCTGCTAAACATTGATTTTTAGTTTTGCCATAGGTACACAGCTTGCTTTCATTGAAATTTAATATTAGTATTATACATTATTATACATTCATAAAAAATACCCTACTGCAAACAGTGTTCAAATGTTTTTTAAGACAGTGATTATATGCTTTTTCATAAGTTGCTTCAATTTTCTATAAAATCTGCTTTTTGAACAGTAATCATTTTAAATTACAAAACATTAGTTGTTGTCACACAATTCTCTAACTTTGTGTAAAATATTATTACATAAAAAAAAAAATACAAAACCATATCAAGTGAAAGATGGTAAGCTAATCACAATTATGAAGCAAATGTTTTGTCTAAATCTCATGTAATACTAAATGAATTTTATTTATATACAGAAGTTTATTATTTACACAATGGTAGTGAAATATGTCATAGTATTTAATGTTTCACTTATTCAAAACCATAAAATACACAAGTTTACCTTACTACATGAAAGATGGTAAGCAAATATGTTGCAAATATTATCTAAATGGAATATTCCTTTAAAACAGTAGTTTTATTGTTTAACTGAGAGCTGTGAAATAAGCTAAGTCAACAGACTATGACAGACAGTAATAGTAGGATATCCTAGCTTCCCTCTTTCACTGCTCCTACATAACAGCTTTATGTGTATACAGTTATAATATAGATATGAAGAAACTACACACACAGAAGCACATTTTGAGCCAGTTTTCAGACCAAAATTGTTACATGCAGTAGCATGTAAGCACTCAGTAGTCTATTTCACTTGAACTTATTTAACTGCTGATCATGAAGCAGCTGGGAACCAGTTTCAGAGAAATGTTATGTGTAGGTGTAAATAATCTTTGTAAAATATTTTTTCACAAAATTTTTTGCTCTCTCTCAACAAAAATTTAAATGTGGGGAGGTATTTTAGATGTAAGTACCTGTTTAAAAATGATCTTATTCTAAACATTTTAAATTAAGATCAAGCTGAGTTATCTCTGAAATACTGAAAACCAGAATACCCACATAGTAAAGAAAATGAGTATTGATGAACTTAATAAGAAACGAGCATGAAACATAAAATTACAAGCTACAATGCAGAAAGATAATCTAGTCTAAGAAATATTTAGCCAAGTACAGTTACAGTAGCATCCAGAACAACAACAACAAAAAAACTCGCAGAAATGGAGTCAAGGAATAATAAGAGGAGTTAACCATCCTTACAAAAATATTGGATCTAAAGAACACTCTGAAAGAAAGTATTGCTCTCAATGGGGTACCTCTGTGTCCAGGATGCCCTTCAATTCAGGCAAAGGGATCAGTTCTGTGGGCTGTAATTGTGTACTGAACCTGTGAAGCCTACAATGGGAGACTGGAATACTATGTCCTGCTCCTGTATAGAAAGGTTCTTAGGGGAGCAGCCCAGACACATATTATGAAAGGAAATGCTTCAGAGGCAAAAGCGCCTCTCGTCCATGCCAAATATGGCCTGGGAATCGCACAAATTAGTGGTTGCTCCAGGTGAACCAAAAAAGACCCAAGCAGTCCCTGAATATGGGCTCAAAAGTGTAAGGAAAATGCAATGTGAATATCAAAACACACAAAAAAAGTCAAAACACAGCTAATTACCATTTTGGTTGGATATGAGACATATAATGATAATGGTAGATCCATTTCTGATATCACTAATATCATGCAAGGATATTCACACAGAGATGGAAAGGTAACTGCCAGGGTGTCAGCTACCAGATGGCATCATCTTTCCACTTTCACAGGGCAATACTCTCTCGCAGATCCTCAGCATCTTGGGTGTAATGTTTGTGTAAGACTAATCCAGAAGTATACATGACTTGAGAGTCCCAACTTTTTTCTTTTTTAATAATACACACACAAACACATATATTTCTCACCCTAAGACTCCCCCTACATTTGTGAGAAAAGATGTTGGGAGATAAAGAAATACTTGGGTTGCCTAAAACATTTACAAATATTAATCTCCTTGGCATTTTCATAATTGTGAATTTTTTGCACCAAAGGTATCATTTTCTTTTACAAAATTTTCTGTTCCCTTATTAGGAAATTAAATTTACTATTCACATATATATTAACAAAAAAGATATTAACCACTCCAATTTTTCTTGCATTCATTGCAGGGGTAGATACAAGGAGGTCAGCCTCCCCCTTTTTTGGGGAAAAACTTTTTCTAAAAAAATTTGGAAATTTTAATGAAAAATGGTAAAACTGACCTACAAAACCCACCTACAAACCCTTTCTAGCCAGAACCTCTCCTCCTACTTTTCTAAAACTCCTGTATTCATATCCTGCATGTGCACTGTACTACTTATATGTAAAAAAATAAAATGGATTTACATAAACTGCAATAACCGGCAATTCTTTGTTACGATAGTCCTTGAAGCAGGAAAATAATTTAGTATAAATTCATGCAAAAGAAAAACCTTCATATTTATTTCATTGTAATCTGGCTTCAGTGATTAGAA